TAGTTTATTGATAATGTGTTGGGCAGGTTTAAGTTGGGGGTTGTAGGTGATGACAAGTGGTGTTCTATTGTTGGTTTTCTTGGGTCTGTTTTGTAGTAGATGGTTTCTAGGTATTCGTTTGGCTCTTTCAATTTGCTTTTTTATTTCTCCAGGTGGGTAGTTGAGGTTTATAAATGCTTGGTAGAGATCCTGAAGTTTCTGGTCTCTATCAGTGGGATTAGAGCAGATGCGGTTGTTTCGAAGGGCTTGGCTATAGATGATGGATAGTATGGTGTGTGCTGGATGGGAGCTGGAAGCATTTAGGTAACTGTACGAGTCAGTGGGTTTTCTGTAGAGGGTGGTGTCTAATTTTCCATTGTTGATTTGTACTGTGGTGTCCAGGAAATGAATCTCTCGTGTGGAATGGTCCAGGCTGAGGTTAATGGTGGGGTGTAGGTTGTTGAAATCTCTGTGGAATGTCTCCAGTGTTTCTTGGCCATGTGTCCAGCTCATAAAGATGTCATCGATGTAGCGTAAGTAGAGAAGGGGTAAAAGGGGACAGGAGTTGAGGAAACGTTGTTCTAGGTCAGCCATAAAGATGTTAGCATACTGTGGGGCCATGCGTGTACCCATGGCTGTGCCGCTGATCTGGAGGTATAAGTTGTTCTCAAACTGGAAATAATTGTGGGTGAGAACAAAGTTACATAGGTCTGCTATCAGGTTGGCAGTGGTGTCCTCTGGGATAGTGTTTCTAATTGCTTGTAATCCGTCTTCATGTGGGATGTTGGTGTATAGTGCTTCTACATCCATGGTGGCAAGGATGGTGTTATTGGGGAGGTATGAAAATAGAGTATTCATATGAAAATAGAGTATTCATATAGTAGGAAAAAGATGTTTGAAAGGCAGCAGTACTCTTTCTATTGACTTAATTATTCAAGTTCAGAAATGGATTACTAATATCTTGAGGCTCTTGTAATCTTTAGCATATCAGAGCCCAATTAAGCTTAGTGTGTTTCTTATGTAGTAGCATTTAATCCTTCTTGACAAGTCCCTTTTCTGATGTAAATCTTACTAAAGATAAATTTCCTTGCCTAGCCAGACTGAAAAATTTGAAACATGAGTGCTGTGTCTACATTGGCACCCTTTTCCGTAAAACAGATGCTAATGAGACCAGTCGGAATTGCAAATTCCGCGGGGGATTTAAATATTCCTTTCAAGTAGGAATAATGGATCTTCTGGAAAAGGGCTTATTTTCCGCAAGATCCCGTCTAGACTGGCTCTTTTCTCCGGCAAAACCCCGAGCTGGAAAAAAGCGGCAGCCATGTTCATGCAAATGCCGCGGGGGATATTTAAATCCCCTGCGGAATTTGCAATTCCGAAGTGTCTCATTAGCATCCCTTTTACGGAAAAGGGTGCCAATGTAGACACAGCCGAGAAGTCTGTTACATCTTCCCTGACTTCACATTGCTGTTGTCTTCCACACAACATTTTTAAGTCATGCAGCAAAGCGTTTCAGCTGCTGCTGGTGTCCTGTACATAAATACACGCATCATAGGATGCATTGACTTCTTTGTCTGTTGTTCACTAGGTGGACTCCCACTATTGTCCCAGTTGCCTGGAAAACATGCCGTCAGCTGAGGCGAAGCTGAAGAAGAATAGGTATGATTGGTTGCTGCAGCACTGCAACACCTCTTCCTTCAAATCTCGTCTTTTTAAAGCTCCTTATTTTGAGCCATCTTTTTCTCTAGCATTAATAATCCCCTAGCCCTTTCTGTGTACTCCTTGGCCCCGTCACCAAAAAGTCCAAGTTTCTCAGTCTCCCTCTCCTGAACTGTTATCCTTAAGTTTTTGTCTTATTTACATTGTGATCCCTTGTGGAGAGGGAAGTACTGAAGTGTGAGGTATAATTTTTGCACTATAATAAATATTTTGTTTACCTGCTGTCATGTTTACATGTTGCAAATAAGTTTGAGAAATGAATTTACATGCCTAGTGTGTTTTTTTTCATTGTTTCCAGCTCATTCTGTCCATCCTTTGGTTGACTTGATGCAATTTTCTTCCTTCCCTTATTTAATCTATATGAACACAGTATTTTCTAAAGTGGTTGTGTGAGACCAAAAAGGCACCTTTAAGTTCAATTGTGCTGTTCTTTAAGAATGTTTTTCTAAGATTTTTATGTAACATGACAGGTGTACCAATGTAGCTCATGACTTTCCCATGTCTCTGACAGGTGTGCTAATTGTTTTGACTGCCCATGCTGCATGCACACACTTTCCATCCACTTCCTGATGACCCAGCCAAGACTACAATGAAGAAAGCATATTACCTGGCCTGTGGATTTTGCCGCTGGACTTCCAGAGATGTAGGCATGGCAGATAAGTCTGTTGGTAAGTAACTCAATATTAAAGACATGTCAATAAGTAATGGTGAAACAGAATATTTGTTCAGAGATACTAAATAAGAAAAATCACTCCCAGATCTGTTATGCATGTAACCCCAGTAAAACTTAATCACTGGATATCCCCATCTTCCTGGTAAAGAGTGATCTTGCCATTTAGGAAGTCTGTGAATGGAGAAGTGTTAAGATTAGTTAGGTAATGGTACTCTCAAATAACGTCACTTGCCTAATAAAAGATCCATTCGAATTAGGAGCTCTTTTTTTTTCTTAATCAGAGCACTTCTCTGTATAACAAACTACACCACCATTATTTCAGAATCTTAAGTAGAACATCTTGATAGCGCTGATGTGTGATGTACTTTATTATAATTCCATGACAACGGTAAACTTATAGTTCTGGCACTTCTACTAAGAAGATGAATATTTTGAAGGCTTTTTAGAGTTAGTATTTGAATTTAGCTTTTTCAGTTTTATATATTCAATCCCTTTTCCAGCAGGGAGTATAGTAAATGTAGAATCTGCTCAGTCTTACTGATTGGATCCGACTGTTATGCCTCAACTCTGCAGATACCTGTGCCTGTCCAAAACTCTTGTGACTGTAGTTCAGAATGAGTGCAGGATTGGGACCTTCAGTTGCGAATTCTAAAGTGCAGGTTTTTGGATCTTTTAGTCTTGCCATCTAACAAGAATTTAAACTATTTTATATTATATTCTGTAGGGTTTGG